CTTTGATGGTTTTCCTCTCATTTAACCGCTGAAACACAATGTCGGTAAAAATTAAAACACACAATCGCTCTCATAGAACGCGCACAATCAGTGTTGCCACAAATATTTTTAAATTTTTACCAAAACTCTAAGAAAATACTAAACTCAGAAAAAATTACCAAATTTTTATGAGTATAATATTCTAAACAAATTAGAAATTAGTTTTCGATGCATTCTTATGTAGATATATTTATTTTGGTGACGACAGAACTACACCACGACTGGGAATGTGGCCAGCTTAGATCTATTTATATTTTTCAAGCGACAGATGAGATCTTCCTCTTCTATTATGACAAACACATACAAATCCATGATGTCGCTGCCACGTTCAAAAAACTCATATCTCCATTAACAGAGCGTTTAAATGGATAATGAAGATGAGCAATTTGCAGCTGTGGTTGTTGTTTTCTTTTTCAGACTATAACAATTCACAAATATTTTTTAAACATAACACAAAAAAATCGCTCAGAGATTTACAATTATTTAAAAGGCCTTTCACATAACTTAAAACCAAAACATGAAACCAGCAAATGTATCGTTAAACGATAGATAGAATTCACTTTTACAATTTTATAAATGGGTCAGAGTCATATTTAATTGCAAATTGTAATTAGTATTGAGTTATTTTCTTTCACCATTGGTTCCCGCAGGTAAAAATGATCCAAATCCCTGATTTGTCGGACTGTATGGGCTGTGATCGAGCCGCCATATTAGGAAAAATGGGTGGTTTCCTTAAATCGCTATATTGCAAATTCACACTAAAAGTTCTGTGTTGTTAAGGCAAATTGTTACATTAAAGGTACCCTTCACTTTTGATTCTCTTAAGGTGTAGACACGTACATATGTAAGTACATAAGCAAATTTGTTTGTTTTGTGCAATTGTAAGAAGGTTTAAAGTTATAAATTTTTATAAGTAATAAGTTAGTATTAAAACCTTAAATGAAAAGACTTACGTTGAAAAAAGTTACCAAATTTAGAAAAAAAATTACGAAACTACCAAAATCGTTCTAAAAAGAAAAAATTACCAGTTTTGGTAAAAATTACCAAAGTGGCAACGCTGTGCACAACCAAAGCAAACGACGACGTTCGCCCGGCGACTGTTCGGTGACGATAGACTTATTTTTATTGTAGTCGCTGGCGGCAACGGCAAAATACGATTCATTGTGGCCATATGCTAAATACTTTCAGGTTTTGAACCGAAATTGAAAAATACTAGGGGTCTTCATCTAAAGTGATAAAGGGATAAATAACTTAAATTGATCAGTTTATCCGCATTCTTTCATGAAGGCAACTTGGTAAATAATTGCACAAAATTTTTTATTATTTAACTTATCTGGCTAGTTACGTTTCATTCTTACCTCGTCCATTGTGTTCATTTGCTTTTTATGTGTTCGTAGTAAAACTGACCCACTGAAAGCCTGTCAGGGTTGAATTTTGCTGCAATTTATACGTTTATCCACCAAAAACGTTTGATAAAGTGATAAAGTTTGGTTAAATAGATTTCCATACAAAGTTTGACAGTTTATTTATCAAAATTGTAAATTTATCATTTTATCAAGTTTATCAGCAGTTTATCACTTTTGATGAAGACCCCTACTGTGTGAGATTTTGTCAAAAATTAATAATCTTGTTGTTTGTAAAAATTTCATTTGTCCCTTGTCATAAGCAGCTGAATTCGTTGTCGCCATAGTTGTGTTTTACTGAGCGAAATTTGTGGGCGAAAGTTGCTGCCGTCGTTGCTCTACTGGGCGAAAATTCGCCGATCGCCAGTATTGTGTTTCAACGGTAAGATAGGATTTTCGCTCACGCTCTTGATTTGGATTGTTCTCTAGTTGAACTACCAATCAGCTGTTTTGGACCACTTGTTTTTTGTTGCAGAAAATAAAACGATTGAATCGGAGAAGGAATTTTTCGTTTTATAATATCGATTAAGTAATTTACAGCCTCGTACTCATAGTTTTTTGTTCCAAATTAGATACATTCACTTAAATTGTGAGTTAACTGAACTCAACCCGTTTATGCAAGACTTGCTAATTAGATTAAAAGAGCTGTTCTTGCATGTGGGTTGAATTGACCTAATCTGGCCACAACCACAGTCGTCGCCAAAATAATTATCTACATAAGAGTACGTGTTAAAATTATTTGACAGATGTGGCCCGTAGCTCGTCGTTTTCATTGTGTCCGGGCTATAAGGTATGCCCTCGTATTGAGCGGACAAAATTATTAAGCAGCAAAAATTCTGAGAATTTAGCAGCATTCAAAAACTTGCAACCTTTTAAACAGCTGATCACTTCCACAGTTGCCACTGCACAGTGGTCAATAAATGGGATTTAATGTTCATAATTCACTGGAGCCTTCATTTCTGAACCGATTTGATTAATTATTTTTTTAAATGAAAGCTAATAAAATTTGCAAGAGACTAGTTGAGCCCAATTTTTAAATTTTTATTTGATTCTATTAATTTTTTTAGTGCAAAGTGCAGAAATTACGCCTATTTTGAAGAAGACCGATTCTCCTGTTCCAGCTAATAAAAGTTGCATAATAAAAACTAGTTAAAAACAATTGTAGGGTTCTCCTAAAACAAAAGAAAAAATTAAAAAGTAATAATTTGAAATGTTATAAAAAAATGTTACCAAAAGTATTTTTTTTTTTTTGAGTTTTTATAAAAATTTTGGGTATGAAGTTTTATAGATTACTAAATTTTAGTATAATAAAGTGCAAGTTGTAAGTCGCTAAGAGTTCGCGTTGATTTTTAATAACATAACAAACGCTTTTATTTCCCATTTAGCATGCAGATGTGCTCGAAATGTTGGCGAAAAAATTATTAAAAATCAACGCGAACTCTTAACGACTTCCAACTTGCACTTTATTATACTAAAATTTAGTAATCTATAAAACTGCATACCCAAAATTTTTATAAAAACTAAAAACAAAAAAATAAATACTTTTGGTAACATTTTTTTTATAACATTTCAAATTATTACTTTTTATTTTTTTTGTTTTGGGAGAACCCTACAATTGTTTTTAACAAGTTTTTATTATGAGACTTTTATTAGCTGGAACAGGAGAATCGGCCTTCTTCAAAATCGGCGCAATTTCTTCACTTTGCACTAAAAAATTTAATACAAATAAATAAAGATTCGAAAATTGGGCTCAACTAGTCTCTTGCAAATTTTATTAGCTTTCATTTAAAAAAATAATTACAAATTACCATTAATTAGGTACAAACAAACAAAGATATCTTAGAAATCTTTTTCAAAGCAACAATAAATGTGAAAAATAAATAACTATATGGGTTGGCTTTCCAATAGGGATGGTTGTTAACGAGATGGTGATCGAAGGGGGAGTGGACGTGGCACCTTTTCCGACCTTTTTGGAGAGGGCATGAACCGCCATTGACAAAAATGTTACTCCCGACCACCTAGGGCCCCTATGGTTCCCCAGGGAACCACACACAGTATTTTTGCGTAGAATTCGGTTTTCAATGACCGCCTTTATAGGCAAGTTACCACAACTAAAAAACTAAAAACTACAAAAGAATTCCAGACTCTTCCTGAATGTATGGCCATTTTTTTTAATTTAAGCCTTATAATTAATTTAATACTTTTCTGATGTTTATACCCGAGCGCCCTGCACCTAGGCCGCTTACACCTTTTCACTATCACACTTAACTTTGCTTACTAACTTGTGTGTGCCACAATATGAATGGCAAAGTACAGCGCGTAAAATAATAACTGTCGCACAGGTTTTTTGAAAAATACAAGGGTTCTTTATAGATTTTGTGTTTTTTTTGTTAACTTTGTAAATATTTTACTTTAATTTTATTAATTGGTTGTAAAATTTTATTCCTGATTAGCATTTGCCAGCATTGGGAGATAAGTACATGCGGCACGAACCTCTTTTTGAGGTGTATTATTTCTTAGATTTTGTATAAAAAAAAGAAAAAAAACCTGTATAGGGTTGGTCGAATGAATGCCCTCCTAGGCACCAGTTTCGAGACTTTTCGATTGCTGAGTATGAGGCCTTATGTTGGACAAAAGACGGAGTATAAAGGACCCAAATGGGGGAAATTAGCCTATGGTTACAGAAGATATGTAATAAAGTAACCGACGAAGACTTGCGCTTTTCTCCCAAACCCCCTGGTAAACCCAAATGAAGGTTAAATTTAAAGACTATACAATAACTACTTTTTTTACTTGCGCTTTTCTCTCAAAGTGTTTACCGCCAGTAAACCCAAATGGAGGTTGAAATTTAAAAACAAATTAATAAAATTGAAGTAAAATCTGTGGATAATTTATTTTTCAAAAAAACTGTGCAACAGATATTATTTTACACCCTGTATATGATAAAATATTAATAGCTGGAAAAAGGAGTACAAAGCTAATAAAGGAGTACATTTCCAGATATTTTTTTTGGGAGTACAAGGTAGTACATTGCAATAAAAAGGAGTACGTTTACTCCCAAAAGCAGTACGTCTGGCAACCCTATGTTATACGGTAACCATAGTCAGCACACACTAAAGCAAACAAACTGGAGATTAATAGTAAATTAACGAAAAGTAACTCAACAACCTTTGTGCTTAATAAATTTACTCACTTTTTGTGATCAGCTGATTTCCTTAATAGCAAGTTTTCGCTGGTAAAAATTTTTCCAGCAGAAATTTGCATCTCTCTATCACATTTTGCTATCTTAATGTCCCCGACTTTGCAAGTATTTTGGATACGAGAACGCAAAATCTGTAAAAGTTTTCTAAAAATTTTGATAGTTTTGGATACGAGTATACTTCTATAAACTTAGTAATTGTTAAGCAGCGTTTGCATTGTTCAACTTTTTCCTTCAAACGGCCTTTCAACAAATCGCTTTCTATGAAGTTGGTCGGCAGCCAATTTACGTTCAACTTTTGATTCAACTAATCGCCTGTGAAAGTTGAACATTTCTACAGTTCTACAGTTCTATATTACTCTCATTGAAAGTGCCAAGAGCCGAGTGGCATTTATTTGCCTTCGTATGCAAAATACATACATATGTACTATATTTAAGTAAAACATAATCTTTGTAAAAATAATATTTCGATATATCGCATTCTTTGTGCAAAATTTCCCGCTTATTTTAATTTTTTATGTGTTCTTACTTATTCTACTTGTTTTAGTATAACTAATAATAATAATAATAATAGATTGGCGCTTACACATATGTTAGTGTTTGGCCGAACTTCTCCTCCAACTTGTGGCGTGCGCCTTGATATTGTCACACAAAGCGGAGGGACCTACAGTTTTACGCCGACTCCGAACGGCGATTGTATTGTTATGAGAAGCTGTTTTTCATGGCAGAAATACACTCGGAGGTTTTTCATTGCCTGCCGAGGGACGACCGCTGTTAAGAAAAACCTTTTTCTAAATTTTTTTCGATAACTAGTTTCTAGAAAGTTTAACAGAATTAAAGCAAGTGAAAAAGTCTTTTAGATCTTTGGCTTAGCTATAAGCTTAACATCATTATCTGGAATGGCATTTATGTTTTGCCCATAGTATGGGGCTTTCTTCAGGGCAACGACCTCTTTCACAGTCGTTATTACTTCTGTGGAGGTTGATGGCTCCAGTTGAGTTGGCGTTGCTACTTCTTCCTCTTCCTCGAGAATTATGTCGCCCCCGACTAAAGCTATCCGATTCAGCTCCTTGCTTGGCGCTCTCTGCATGAAAAGAGACGAATGGCTGGCTAATGAGAATACTGGCGACATGTGTGCCGGCGGTGGTGGCACATGTTGGTTGCTTTTGGAGCTTTTGCTCTCCTCCTCCACAGCATTCACACTTTCCTTGAGGCCCTGTGTTGGCAATTTGTTTGCTAATTCCATGGAACTGCACTGCTGTTGGTGTATACTGCTCGGGCTGTAGTTTTGCTGCTCTCCCGCTGACATTTGCGACACCACTGTATGACTGTGGTTGTTGCTCAATGCGGTATCTTTCCATTTCTCTAAAACGAATTAGTGACTTAGTTTACACCGTTCCCTTGAAATATGAGAAAACTTACGTACCTGCAGCACTGCTTCCTCCGGAAGTTCCTTTTGTAAAGGGCAATAGCTTTGATGGTTTGCACATAATTACCGTCTTGTAAGCCTTTCTGTATTGTTTATTCATAATAACATAGATTATTGGATTTATACAGGCCGATAGGTAAAGCATTATGTAACTGAAAATATGGAAATTAGGATGGTCTACGTCTTTGTCGGCTACTTTGGCGATTGTTATAGGAAGATAGCAAATTACAAATGACAAAAATATGGCTAGCACCATTTTTGTTATGCGCCATTCATTTCGTTTAGCTCTCATCTCTCTTTGATCCTTGATGCGAGAAGGCTTTTGCATAATATCCTGTTTGATTTCAGTGGAAGAGCTGCTGTCCGAAGCAAAAGTAGACGATATTCGATTTTGTTCACTTCCAACAATGGTGCCCGAAGGCGTTTGCGTAGGTCGTAAATTATTCGGAATAGAATTTTGCTGATTCGCATGCCTTTTCAGTCGCAACTCTGATTGGCGTACAACCCAGAATATTTTGGTGTAACAAGCGATTATGACCATACCGGGTATTATAAAAGCTGTGATAAACAATGTGGTTTTACTGCTGCGCCCATGGCTATCGATCATAATCGAACACGTTTCCAGCTTTTGATCGTAATCAAACTTTCCCCATACCCCTAAAAGAGTAGGTAACTGCATGCCGTATGAGAATGCCCAACAGAAGATAATCATGACCGCAATCCAATGTTTCCGGTATATTTTTCCGTATGAACCATGGTGGGCAATCATTACGTACCTTTGAAAGAAAGATTAAAATAAGTAGTAATAATTTACAATTATGTACCAAGATTTCTGAAAGTCCTAAAATTTCTACAGTGGAATTACAAATATGAGATCGATGATGGGACTGAGAAGTATTATTTTCTAATTTTTAGTCCTTTTATAAAAGCGTGGCATATTAAAAAGTTTATTTATTTTATATTTTTAATTTTTGGTCTTGTCTGTATAAAATTTTGCAATAGATATTAAAATAATTCAACTTGCAGTGAAAAGAGAACAGACGACTATGGAAGCAAAATGTTTTGTGCTCCCGTTAAGTATGTATATACATTAGGGTGGTCCAAAGACAGTTAAGTCGGAATTGTAATGCTCTCACACCAAGGATTGCTCTATATCGAAAAAAGTAGACCCCTATTTTTTTATTTTGAAATAAAAAAAATTTAGAGGTTGCTCAAAGCGCTCAAAGTTTTCCATGTATTTTTATATGACAAAAAAAACAATTTTTCGTAGAAATGGTATAGAATTCTTTAAAATCAATATTTTTCGATCGGAAAACCCTGGTTATCTTCAGGAGACTTTCAATAATAATACTCAATTGTTTATTTAACCATTTTTTATTACTAACGATTTTTTATTGGTCGCCCCATTGCATTTTTCGGGGTTTTGTGGGTTTTTGGCGGACCTGTAATTTATAGTTGCAATGAAAAAATGGTTAAATAAACAATTGGGTCTTATTACTGGTATTCTCCTGCAGATAAACAGAGTTTTCTGGTAGAAAAATATTGATTTTTAACTATTCTATTCAATTTCTACGAAAAGTTGTTTTTTCCCCATATAAAATACATTGAAAACTTTGGGCGCTTTGAGTGACCTCTAAATATTTTTTGATTTCAAAATAAAAAAAGGGGTATATTTTTTTCGGTATAGAACAATCCTAGGGGGTGGGAGCATACAAATTCCAACATTACTTTTTCGCATGCATTTTTGGACCACCTTAATATACATACATATGTACATACATGCATATAGCAGGAATTAATTTTTTATTGCATATTTTTAGGCGCAATATTTAACATCTTCTGGCGGGGCGAGATCTAGAGTCTTCTAATTGTATATCTTTGATATGATATCTACATCGAGGTTGATATCTCGACTAGGTTGATACCTAGACTTTGCCATAAATACCTTTGCTATATTTATAGTATAAATGGTGTCCAGAACACACAACAGTTACAAGTTGATAAAATCGTTGTAAAATAGATTTACATATGGTGAGAAGTTGTCAGCTTTCAAAGAAATGCTTATTGGATGTCCGAACCGGCACAGCCATTTTTTTCTCACCTAACTTTGAAAATACGAAAGCTTCCCATCGTCTAAATAAGGTAATTTTATTAAAAGAATAAAAAAAACACAAGTAAAACTCATTTTACTCACGAACTTTGCATCCTCAATAGAGACTCGTCCCACCCGTCACAAAATACCGTCCCACCCACCACAAGCTAAAGGAGTTTTTTTTGAAATTTTCAAATGTAATAATAGAGCCCGACCGATTCCAATTTTTCTTCAGGTACCGATGCTGATGCCGATTAATATACATATCGTCGATGTTTTTGCAAAACCGCCCATCGACCAGTTGCAAAACCGCCTAAATCACCGTTGTGGCAAAAATGAGAATTGGTAATCCTGAACTCCAGGCCGATGCCTGGATTTATGCATAAAAATCGTTAAATCGTTATTAAAACAACAGATTTGTAAAACAATAGCTAGAGAAAATACCACCTATCAACAAGGCAATGCCTTCAAAGAATAAACCGTTTTTTCGCTCTCCTGTAAAATTTGAGTGCCGTACGATAGGCGGTTTTGCAATTGGATGTGTATCTGTAAAAATATATGTACATATCACGTTTATGTACATTGCATTAAACATATTTTTTATATGGTGCTAATCAATAAATATTTAGGAACATAAAATCTAATTTCGTTTTGTACTAAAATACACTCTTTTGCACTCAATGCATAAGAACTTATATGCTAGGTATGTATGTACTAGAGGTATACGCCGCCGAGCCACGCCGCCGCCGCCGAGTTACGAAAGTATCGGCGTGGCGGCGGCGGCGGTGGCGGCGTTCGGCGCCTAAGGAATTTTGTACAAAATTTTCTTCTAATTGTATGTCTTTGATATGATTTCTACATCGAGGTTGATATCTCGACTAGGTTGATACCTAGACTTTGCCATAAATACCTTTGCTATATTTATAGTATAAATGGTGATCTGGACACACAACAGTTGCAAGTTGATAAAAGCGTTGTAAAATAGATTTACATATGGTGAGAAGTTGTCAGCTTTCAAAGAAATGCTTATTGGATGTCCGAACCGGCACAGCCATTTTTTTCTAACCTAACTTTGAAAATACGAAAGCTTCCCATCGTCTAAATAAGGTAATTTTATTAACAGAATAAAAAAACACATGAAACAAATAAAACTCATTTTACTCACGAACTTTGCATCCTCAATAGAGACTCGTCCCACCCGTCACAAAATAGCGTCCCACCCACCACAAGCTAAAGGAGTTTTTTTTTTAATTTTCAAATATGATAATAGAGCCCGACCGATTCCAATTTTTCTTCAGGTACCGATGCTGATGCCGATTAATATACATATCGTCGATGTTTTTGCAAAACCGCCCATCGACCAGTTGCAAAACCGCCTAAATCGCCGTTGTGGCAAAAATGAGAATTGGTAATCCTGAAATCCAGGCCGATGCCTGGATTTATGCATAAAAATCGTTAAATCGTTATTAAAACAACAGATTTTAAAATAATAGCTAGAGAAAATACCGCCTATTAAGGCAATGCCTTCAAAGAATAAACCGTTTTTTCGCTCTCCTGTCAAATTTGAGTGCGGTACGATAGGCGGTTTTGCAATTGGCGATCTGTAAAAATATATGTACATACATACATCACGTTTATGTACATTACATTAAACATCTTTTTTATATGGTGCTACTCAATAAATATTTAGGAACATAAAATTTAATTTCGTTTTGTACTAAAATACACTCTTTTGCACTCAATGCATAAGAACTTATATGCTAGGTATGTATGTACTAGAGGTATACGCCGCCGAGCCACGCCGCCGCCGCCGAGTTACGAAAATATCGGCGTGGCGGCGGCGGCGGTGGCGGCGTTCGGCGCCTAAGGAATTTCGTACAAAATTTTCATGAAATACATCGCTTGAAGGAACTACTACTCCAGAATATATTACATTTTTTTTCAATACCACAACAATATTCCTTTTTTACATATTACTACAACAACAACAAAGTTGTCATACACCAAAAAACTTTAACGATAATATCTCAGAAAGCAGTTTTAACAGAAGTGCCCTTATGCATCTAACTCCTCGATTATTGGAGATAAAACAAAAACAAATTGATATTCTTTTTTATTTTTTCTTTAATAAAGAGTTGAATATTTTTTAAACAGATTTTAAATAAGTAAGTTATTTTATTCTGGGGTCCCACAGACGTATATAAGTTCTAGGTGGCTGTATGAAAACTATGTTAGCTTTCACAAGTGGTGGGCAAACCCCAGAAAGGTTTTGCTCCATCGCATCGCAATGTTCCCCCTTCTTGGTGGAAATTAGTAGTATTTTTCATTACTTTCAATTATCCTTAGGAAAATTTGGTGCTTAATATTTTAGTGGAATTTTAACCATCTATAAGCCATTTTTTAAACAGTGTGTCAAAAAGGCCTGTTCTGCTGGTAGTTGATGGCCTGTTCTGCTGTTGGAAAATAGTAGACTACCCTAGTTTTCAATCTATAACCCGCAAAAAAATCGTAAGAGCCCTGTAATTTAACATAACGGTAGATAAGGTTATTACAGAAATTTATTAATAGCGAAATAAATTACTCCAACAACTTAACTTTTTATTTTTTATTATTTCTTTAAATTTAAATAGTACATACGGATCTATAGAGAGCATAGAGAACCATGTATGTATGTATATTTTTTTTATTTATTTATTAATTTCAGTCTACAGAATTAGTTTCTTACAGACTAGTGAAGACTCTAGTTGAATATTGTAAACAAATTACTCTTAAATCTATCAATACTTAAGTTAAAATCGATAACACTAGAATATGTATTGCACAATTCAATGCATTTAGAAATGGGTTCATTTTTGGCATAATTCGTGGTATGCAGAGCACCAACCAATAGCCTTTTGTTTCTTAAATTACGCGGGGGATTATATTGTCGAAGTACATAAATTGCCCTTCGGTAGTTTACCGGGGCGTACCGGATACACGTGGAGCCCTGGTGCTCCACCGGTGCTGCTGCCGGCCAACGCCCGCTTTGGTGTGGGAGCCCTATCGCTCCCCGCCACCTGCGTGCCGCTGAACGCCTTTAGCCCCGCTGGTGGGTGCTCTGTAGCTTTGCTACGCGCAAACGTTTTTGGTGCGCGGTTCGTACGCACAAATAGGTGTGCTGATGCTCCTGACTGCTGGCACCTCGACTCACAAGTCGGTTGGCGCTAGTTGGCCGGCTCCCGCTCAAATTAAATATAAAACTTGTACTTCTCGGTTTTAACGCGAATGCCGCCAATTTATTTTTCACTTTTTGAATTAAGCTGCAGCTGTCATACATATGACAGAGTCGCATTCTAATATCGTAAATTCTTACACACTAGTAGTAGATTAGCTTTAAGGCGAATTCATATAAGGTGATTTATAGAAGTTTTGTAGGGTTGCAAATTGTCTGCTTTTATCGCATTACAATAGAAAACGAGCAAATTTGTTAAATAAGCGCAATTTATGTGCCCATTGATTGGTTTATAAATAAATATAATGGAGAAGTAATCTCTTTTTTCCTTCAAAGACTGGAGAACTAGCAATTTCCGTCCGGCAATATAGGGAGGAACATAACCTTGCCAGGGCAACTTGCAAATAGCGAATTTGGTGAAAATCTTTTGAACTTTTTCTATTTTGATCGAGTGCACTTCATAATATGGACTCCATATTATAGAACA